TTGAAGACATAAAGAAGAATGATGTCTGAGGCTCCTGTTCTACACCTTCGCTGACTTCTCAAAGGTATTTGAGTTGGCGTGACGATGCTTCCAATGTTGGGATTGGGGTGTGCTGAGTCAAGAAGGGCACTCAGTTGCCTATTTCAGCGAAAAACTCAAATGAAACCAAGCAAAAGTATTCCACCTATGACAAGGAATTTTATGCAGTGATTCAAGCTCTTCGCCATTGGCGACACTATCTTTTTTTAAGGAGTTTGTGTTGTTTTCCCGACCATGAAGCACTCAAGTACATCAACTGTCAAAAGAAGCTGAATCATCGACATGGTAAATGGGTTTCATTTCTGCAGGAGTATTCTTTTGTTATCAAACAAAAGCTGGCTCTGAGACAAAGTTGCCTGATGCTCTTAGCCGAGTGGTGTATGTTTCTCTCTTCCATGACTGTACAGGTGGTGGGTTTTTGACTTGCTCAAGAGAGATTATCCTTCTTGTAAGGATTTAGCTCTATAATGCTCCAGTTGCTGGCTGGACAGCAGGGAGGATATGGTGAGTTTTCTTGCATGATGGCTTCCTCTTCAAGGGAACTGCGTCTCTGCCTTACCCAACACATCAATTCGTGAAGATATGATTTGGGAATTGCAATTCCGGAGGAGTAGCAGGTCATTTTGGAAGAGATAAGACAATTGCAATGGCCGAGGATCGCTTTTATTGGCCAAAGCTGAAGCGAGATGTGGGCAGGTTGTTTCACGATGCGTACTTTGCCAACTTTCGAAGGAAGAAAGAAGAATACAGGTTTATACACTCCATTACCTGTGGCCCATGAACCTTGCAAGATTAAGTATGGACTTTGTCCTTGGATTACCAAAAACCCTTCGAAAGCACGATTCTATCCCTTGTGGTTGTGGATCGCTTCTCCAAAATGGCACACTTTATTCCGTGTTCAAAGACATTGGATGCAGTCCCACATAGCTAAGCTCTTCTTTCAAGAAGTTGTCAGACTTCATGGACTGCCAATGACCATTGTCTCTGACCGTGATTCAAAATTTATGAGCTACTTTTGGCGAACGCTATGGAAGTTGCTGAATACAAAGCTGAAATTTTCTTCGGCTTTTCATTCGCAAACTGATGTCAAACGGAGTTTGTTAATCGCAGTTTGGGTAATCTACTTCGCTGCCTTGTTAGTGATCATGTTGGCAGCTGGGATCAGGTACTTCCTAATGGCAGAATTTGCATACAACAGCTCTGTGAACAGATCTACAGGTCGCAGCCTTTTCGAAATTGTCAACAGGTTTGCTTCCAAGGAAACCAATCGATTTGGTTCCCCTACCTATTCAGGCTCGCCCAAGTGCTGAAGCTGAAGCTTTTAGTCAACATATCCGTGTATCCATGATGAAGTGCGACGAGAGATTGCCATCAGCAATGAGGGGTACAAACAACATGCTGATTTGCGGCGAGGTTTGCTGAATTTGATGAGGGCGACATGGTCATGGTTCGAATCAAACCCGAACGGTATCCTAAAGGGGTATATAGAAAACTTCATTCGAAGAGTGCTGGACCATTTAAAGTTCTCAAAAAGATTAGCTCAAATGCTTATGTGCTTGAATTACCTGATGACAATGAGCATAAGTAATGTATTCAATATTGAGGATCTCACTCGATATTTTGGGCATGCTAAGAGCAGTAACTGGGCTGACCCTGTGGCATCTCTCCCAGCACCCAAAATTTTTCAAGATGAAATCGAAGACGTGGTTGATCATCAAATTGTTTCAACTCAACATGGAGGTTATCAGAAGTATCTCATTAAGTGGAAGAAACGTTCACTGTCAGATTGCACTTGGATTACTGATGAGGAGTTTCGGCGCCTCAACCCTGACCTTTATGAAGAGTTCCATGCTTTTAACTCGACGGGGTCGAGTTCTTTCAAGCCGGGCAGAATTGATGGAAAATGGCAGCAGCCAATTAAAGTCTATAAAAGGCGTGGATCCAACGGTTCTAAGGCCCAAGCCTTAATTTGGCATATGCTAGATGATGTGGGGCCTACTTGGGAGATTAACTAGATTTGGGATTTATTTAAAAGTGTCTTTTGAGTTTCTCAAGTCAAATGTCTTTAAATTTCTAGTCAAGGTCTTTGGGTTATTTAATTGGTCAAAGAGTCTTCTAGAGTCTTTCACATGATTAATGCATTAAAGAGTCCTAGGGAGTCTAAGTTAGTCATGTCATTTAATTTGGAAAGTTTTAGAATCAAGATGAAGTGAGTATAAATTATATTGTAAGTCTTGTGGCAATTTATGAATGGAATGAATAAAAATTAAGCTTATGCTTCTATGATTGTGCTGATGCAATCTTTCTTTAGTGTGATGCTAAAGTGCCCATTGGTGTGATGCCTTGGGTTTTCTAGGTGTGACATCTAGATCTATCATTCTTTAACCCTTCCTCTACTTCTTACAAATCACTGTTCACGTCTACTGTTCATATTTACTGTTCACAACCCCCAAAACAGCCCTGTTATTTGTGTTTTTGCTCATACTCAGGCCTATTTCGAATCTGTCCTGCATCAAAAGGAGAAACATTGGGTCGAAAAATTGAGTCGTGTTTAATTGAGTGGAACATTGTGATGTACAGAGACAGAGACCATGTGTTTGACTGCTCATTTCATTGATGGTAACTGGAAACTTCAAAAAAGAATCATAAATTTTCAACAAGTTGAGGATCACAAAGGAGAAACATTGGGTCGAAAAATTGAGTCGTGTTTAATTGAGTGGAACATTGTGATGTACAGAGAGAGAGAGAGAGAGAGAGAGAGAGAGAGGGGACTCTTAGGTTTAGAGTATCAAAGAAAAAAATCTGACGGTAAACGAATGACAAAACATATAAATATAAAAATTATCAGTTGAACAATAAGAACTGAACTTTATACAAATAATCTCACAAAATAATACACCAATTCAAGAAAGAAAAAATATTGGGGGGAAATGGGGCGAAAATGCAGTCTATACATACAAGAAAAGCAAATCGTTAGGAAAAAAAAAACACAAAATAGGGTTTTTTTTTTCCGTGAGGGAGAAGGGAGATCTGAGAGAGAGTACCTTGGTGGCAGACGGCGGTAGATCGAAGAAATGAGTTAGAGAGAGAGAGAGAGAGGCGGCCGTTCTAGTGTGTGTGAGAGGAACGAATGAATGATCGGATGAGGGTGGGTCTGTTTGATCAAATAGGGTTTTAAAGTTTTGATTGTGTGTGGAGGTGTGCACATTAGATCGCATACACAACAACTATTGTTGTCAAACTTCAATAAAAGTAATTCCAAAACAGAAACAGATTCTTAATTAGGGATGGAATCAAACTTCACAGAGCACTAAAAACGAAACTAATCATGAAACTTATAGAAGCAAAACCACACATTTATTTATTACAAAACATAAACCATAGTTTGAGCAACACAAATTCAAAAACACAAAGCAAACCTAGTACAGGACATCATAAGCTCCTGTTTAAACACACAAAATAGTATTAAAAAAAAAAAAAAAACATGAAAATAGACACTAGGGAAAAGGCTATACGTATTTGATCAATGGGTACATAATAACAACATTAAATTGCGAAAAAAACAAAAGGTATTCTTCAATTTCTCTGGTTGCAGGATTGATTTAATAAAATTTCTTTTTGTATCATGAAACAATATTCCCTTCAAATACAAGAATACCCAAGAGCATGTCTCAACCCAAAAAAGGAGCTACAGATTGATTCAAACTTACACGGCTAATTTTAGCAACAGCAGCCGTCGAAGGTCACCGATCGTTGAAGATCGATCTTGCGAAAGTCGATCAGTCGCTGCTGGTCGCCAGAGATAGACAGATGGAAGAACGAGACAGAGTGAGATGAGAAGAGATAGGCTGCGCACTGTGCAGACGTTGAGAGATTAGGGTTTGGTTTGGGCAAAATCGATTCGATCTGGTTGCGCCACACAGAGAGAGATGGAAGAACGAGAGAGAGTAAGATGAGAAGAGAAGAGAGGCTGCGCAGATGTTGAGAGATTAGGGTTTTGTTGGGCACAAATATTGGGTGAGTTGTGAAATTCTGAACCTCACAAAAGCAAAAACTAGAGCATTTGGGCCCTGTTTGGTCTGTGGTTATCATTTTTGGCTAAATAATCACAAAATGATAAATAAAAAATTATAAAATTATAAAAAGATAAAAAAGAAAAAAAAAATTAAAAAGCCAATCAAAATTACTAAACGAATAAAAAAATCTTAGACTAAAAAAATTAAAAAGATTAAAAAGTTAACTAAAAAATTCATTGCCAAACAAATGCTTAATATGAAGTTTTGGGCTGTGCAAAACCCAGACAGATTGGGTTAAGTTTTGGGTTTGCCCTTCTTCCCCTTCTCCCGAGCTATTCAAAAAATCAAAAATAATAAAATTGAGCAAGTCTCTAAACTACCCCAAAAATAAATAAAATAAGGGTTTGGGGAAATTTTTCTTAACAATTTTTTTATTTTTTTGATCATTTTTTTAAAATATTTTTTATTACTTTTTACGCCTTATTACATTAAAAGTTTGTAAATTTTTTAAATATATACTAAATGTGGACCCAAAAAAAATCACAAAAAGAATATATCAATTTTCTTAGTTTTTTTTTTTTTAGGGAGCTTTTTTCTAGTTTGATCTTTATTTATTTTTTAATTGTTCAAGATCTTCTAGTCTAGATAGTCTTAAAAGATTAATATATGTATATTTCATACCAAAAAAAAAAAATCACTAAATATAACAAATTTGGAAAATATATATGTTTAATGGAAATTTTGTTTCCAATATTATGAAGTCAAGACTTGTAGAAGATTGAATGTTGCAATATTATTCTTTAGGGTATGATTTTTTTTTCTCAAATTTAAGTTTAAATTGGATGATGTAATTTATGTAACGGGATTTCGCTATGTTATCAAAAAGTCTAATTTATGGCTCAAATTGCCCCATGCCTGTAGTTGGAAAATTTGTCGTCTGTCCATGAGATACGTGAACAAATGTGGCAGTTGTGGAGTTTTAACTTTTATGTGATTTGTGGTAAATTCACTGTGTTAGATTTGATTTCTTGACTTCTTTCTGATATGTATGCATATACATAATTATTCAAAGGATTTTAGGGTTTTTGAAATCTGTTTTAGTTCAGCAGTTTTGAGTATTTGAGGATTGTCTATTTTTTCTGTTCATTTTGTTGTGGGTTTAGTTTTTTTGATGTATCATGATGCAATCTGGGGCAAAAACAGTTCTGCTTTTGAGTTTGACGATGGATTCTCTTTCTTTCTCTTTGTCTTCTGTAGGTTATTGTGATTTCTGATTTATTGGATTGAAATTCGCACAAGAAAAATGGCATCAAGGTTTTGGACTCAGGTTCGTGATATATGCCACCAAATTTTGAGTGTTTTATTTTGTGTTCCAGTTAAAATTTACATGTATCATGCATATGTTTATTGGTGACTTGTTCATTTAAACAGATTATTTTTATTTTTTGTCTATGATAGGGTGATAGTGACAGTGATGACGAGGAGAGTGATTATGATGAGGGCATCACTGCTGGCGGAGCTGGTGAGTCTGCCACTGCAGCTGCTGGAAGCAGATATCTTAAGGAAAATGCTAGTGATAGTGATGACTCGGATGGGCAGAAACGCGTTGTCCGATCTGCCAAATATAAACGATCTGAGGAGATGTCTGCTACGATTGATCAGATGAAGAATGCCATGAAGATCAACGATTGGGTCAGTTTCTCCGAATCTGGACCCCCCCATGGCCAATCCTCGATGGTCCCCTCAAAACTCTAAATCCTTCGTCCTCATCATCTTCACTCCGGTGATCAGCATCCCCGTCCATCCTCACTCTCGGGATTCTCCCTGCACTTGTAATCAAATCTTTCATTACTGCTTTGTTGTTTTTCTTCAGTTTTTGTTTCATTGAATTCAAGGCCTAGCATTGCTACTACTCATCTTTTATCTTGGCTTCCTTATTTGGCTAAGCCTGTATTCAAGAATCCTCCAACATAACAAGAGCCTTTGATGGTATAGATTTTGGGACCTTTCAAACTCAGTAACGCGCATGACCTTCTTCAAGCTGTATTTTTATCTGTCAAGCTCCTCTTGC